CACCCCCAAAATTTTCCATGTAGATAAATCCTTTTGCATAGGCATTCCAGCCTGAGCCAAGAAGGAAGATAAAGATTAATCATTACAAATACTTAGTTTTAGGGGCACTACCATCTATGACAATTTTGCCCACTTAGTTTGCAATGTCCCTATACCCAGCAGGTCAAGTGATACTGAGGGGAAAAGCACCTAGCTCCAAATGCAGGGAAGAACCTAATCATGCTGGCAATCACGTCAGGCTGCTACCATAGCACTGTGCCCTGATGTATATACCTGCCTTTCAGTAAGGCTAATGAGCTCAGGCACGACATGGGGTCACTGTGAACTAGACCTGGTTTGTGTCTTGCCGGCTCAACACGTGAGCAAGGCACACCACCCCCGTGCCCATGGCTTTCTTTACAGACACACTGTTATGGGTGCAGGGGACTTCAGCAGCTCCAGGGCGAAGTGTGAATCTAAGCAGGTGCTCTAGAGTGCTGCAGGTTGAACTTAGAAGACATAATTTGGCTCAACCGGCTATAATCATAGTGAGTGTAAAGCCTTCTGAGCACGATGACGTTATTATGAAGTAAACCAAGGTGACAGTGGAAAACCAGAAGAGCTGTTCTGCACTGACTTCAGGTGCAGATCAGATCTTCCATTCTGGGATACAAGTGCACCCTCACCACTCAGCTCAATCCCCATCCAAAGAAAGCTCACTTGAAGGAGCTAGGAAAACTGAGTTCAAGTCCATGAAAACAGTCAGAGTAACTGGGATTACATTATAAGCTTACTCCACAGTACTTCTCCATATTAAAAGATATATGTAGTCTTAATTCACTGCAACAATACTGAATAAAGTGTATGCTGCAGCATCTTGTTAATTGGTCGAACAATGCATGACTTTATATCCTGTCAGCCCTGTCAATGTCAGGGTTGTTTTTTTTTAAACCACATTCATCGAAGGCAGCGTGGAAGGGTCTTGCCTGCAAGCCAGGGCTTGGGACTGTGGCCCTCATCCCACTGCAAGAGAGGGAGACTTTAGCTCTTTAGACACACCTCTTCTAAAGTATTTAACACTTACATATGTTTAGATTGTTTGGAAAACTGATTTGAGGCCCAAATTTGCAAAGGTATTACAAAGAAGTATCTGGCTTCCTTGGGAGTTCAATGACTAAATACCTTTGGGAATTTGGGCCTCAGGTCTTTTCAAAAAATGTTTTCATTGTGTCTAATCTAATCTTCAGTTCCTCCTCAAAGCTAAGAAAATTAAAATTCTAAATGTTACGTGTCACCTGTACATTGTCAATGGCAATATTATTAAGCTTATTTGAGGCAGTGGATGAACTGGAAACCTAGCCATAAAGACAGAGGTAGAAAGAAGAGTATGTTTTCTAAACATTTCTCTGCTGGTACAGGATTGTTTCATATGCCACATTTCCTGCAAGGCGATGGAACATAGTTAACTTATTAATTCATTCCAGATAATTCCTAACAGTCTTTATCATTTAAATTGTGTAGTCCAAGAGGTTTACATGTAAAAAAATCAAACTATTGTACCAATAACCTAAGATTTACAGAATGAAACCTTCTGTGGCACTAACAGAAGTATGACGTGCTGTGGCTGGGAGACTGAGGGAAGGGTTTCCCTCTGGGGATACAGGGGCCTTCCCATCTCCGCTGCTCTCTACTGCATTCTGCTAGCATTCAGAGCTGACTGAAGCTGCCTTAGGCTGCCAATAACACTGGATTTTATAGTGGTGATTATTGTAATAATGCACTTGCAGGAAATTTTCAGGACTTAAGTAGTTTCTGCAGAAATACTTTACTCACTATTACCTCTCACTCAGGCTCCAAAATAAAATGAGACATACTGGTCAGTTCTCTCTTGGCACAACAACGTTGCCCCAGAGCAGCAAGCCAACTGCAGCAAAAACTGCCCATGAAATTCTTGGGTGCAGCATGAAGAGGAAAAATAATGTGGAAACTGGGGAAGGTGCACGCAGATACGAAATGATGATGTTGTCTGAAATTTTTGAGAAAAAAGTTTGAAAGGAAACAATCAGGGAGAGCGGGGTGCTGGCCAGCCAGATGCAGGACGTGTCACCTCTCAGAGACCTAGCTGATCCTCGGAGCCGAAAACATCTTTTGAAAAGCGTCACTGAAGACTGGAAAGCAAAACACATAATGGCGATGTCAGGCAGCTCCCACCATCCTCTTCCCATTAAACCTGTTCAAAAAAATCAACAGAAGGAAGGTCTCGGGTCTGAACGAGAAGCTCACACCGCTCCTTTCCCTCAGCATCTCTCACCCCACCTCCCTCACACTGTCCCTCTGTCCTTCCCGCTCCCCCCGGGGCGAAGCTTTCTGCCCGGGGCCGCGCTCTGCCCTGCCTCTCTCAAGCCCAGGGCTGCGGGCTCCAGCGGGGGGCTGCGGG